TTTGATTCATTTAAAACTAATTTAAATTACATTATGCAGTGAATATTGGGATGATGGAACTGGCAATTTATACACAAGAGACACAATAAAAACTATAATAGACACAACACAAGATATTAGTACTGCGGTTAGTAAAGTTTAAACATCATAATAAATTTCATTTCATACTTAATATATTTAATTTACATCTATTTATTATCAGCATCTTGACCTGGAGTTAAAATTGTTGAGGCGTCTGATTAACGATGGCTGCACTCTTCTTTCGAGGGAATACGCAATTCTAGACTTCCAATTTGAAAAAGAATGTACTCGACAAATATTGTTACAAAGAAGCATACAAGAAAGAAGTGCAAGAAATACATTGGATTTAACTCTTTTAGAAGAATACATAAATGGCAATTTACCAACATTTGGTCGTCCATGGATAACATGCAATTACCTATTAATTCCGTGTTCGTATTCAGGCAACAATTGGTATCTATTTCTCGTGAATTTTCGTGAATGGAAATTCCAAATCTATGATTGTAGCCACAATCTTCATACTCCACAACAGATCAGAACACGTGCAAATGGAGTACTAAATTTAGTCCAAACATTATTAATGTCTTCAGAGTTTTCTATCAGACAAGATATAAGGAAAAATAGAAACAAGCAAATGGAATTGGACATCATACCTTATCTACCTTGTACAAATAACGGGTACGTATTTCAACTACTATTTACTATAATATTTCATTTTCTATTTAATTTAATTTCACATTCATGATATTAATTTAATCTAACATAAAACTATTTCTCTCATAGGCCAAACTGTGGAATTTTTTTGCTCAAATACATAGAGTGTTTCATTTTTGGATATCCAATAGAAGCAGTTTCTCCGGACAGGATGACTATATATAGATGAAAGATTGCAGTAGATATTTGTTATAATGAATACTTTCTACATCCACGTTAATCCTGGCGGTAAGAAGAATTATGAAGTTTTATGCGTCTCTCTTACAAAGTGAGTTCATTTAATAACATTGGAAATTTTGATAGTGAAAAATTATTGGTCTGATTGGACTTGTCTGATTTATTAATTGCAGATTTCTTCTGAGAGGACTGATCAGTTTGAATGAGACATTCATGTTAGGATCAATAGTTCAAAAAAAGGTATTCACTGTTGCAATTATGAGTTTAATAATCATTCAATCCTTAATAGCTTAACCTTTGTATTTTTGACATGTCTTAAAGCACTATAGCCTTATACAGGCTAGACATAGCCTACTTCAATTGGTTTCTTGCAAGAATGTGAGTTCAATTTTGTTACTATTTTGTTATTATATCATTTTATATAATTTCGTATTGCTTTGATCTCATGAAGGAGTGTCCTTTTTAGAGTTCTGTTAATACTTTGGGTTTTCTAGGTTGTAGCATTTCTGGTTAAATTTAAAGAAAAGGAAACATGATCTTTTGAAGTTCAAAGATTGAATTTTTGTCATCTGAGCTACGTATATTCTTACAAAAAAGTTTTTCATTTTGAATTGTTTTTTGTTGACATTTTCTATTTTCTTGTGCCTCCTCACTTCATCCGCTACTTTAGACTCAAAATAGAAAGTTGGGACTATTCGAAGAACATAAATTGAAAGACGAGAGTTCTATTTGATAGGAAAGAATCACTGAGAAATCCATTGGTCTTATTTTGACTCCAGTTGTGTTAGAGGGACACCATTCAAGTTTACTCTGGGCCAAGGTATCAAGATTTTACGTGATGATATATTTTCATTTGCTGAAAAGAATTGAAACTGGACGTATTTATTTTGTTTTAGATCAGTATTTTGTGTTACAAATTCTTGTTCTGTTTGAATTATGATATTTCTAATGATCTTTGTCCACTATGAAAGTTATTATATTTGCTTTCAAGGTTTTTATGTTAGAAGTTAGTAGTAATATCTTTATATTTATTTTCAAATAAGATGAACTTGCAAAATGGAAAAGATATTTTCTCATTTTTTGTAGAACTGCAATTTTTGGAGCTTCAATGCCATCTCTCTTCTTTATTTATCCCTCGTTTGGTGCACATTTTTGGAAAAAGAATGTATTTTTACTGTTGATGTGATGAGAATATATGGTTGAAAAAGAAGGAAAAGTTATTGATACGATGAAAAATATTATTTTATTGAAAAATATGTGATTAAAAATGAGTAGAAGAAAGAGAATGAAAAAAAATCATGTGGTTCAAACAGGACCTTAATTTTTTGTAAATCAGCAATTTTCGGAGCAGCTCATTTTTAAATTATTTTCATTTATTTATGCTTTCTTCTGTAATTACTTGCGATGTACAATATGGGCAACTAAAACAAAATTAATACTCTGAAAATGCAGTTCGGAGATAAAGCAATCATTTGAGGGTACTCATGAAGTCCTTCACTTTGTTGAAGACAGGGAGCTAAGTAAGATCTGTTAGATCCACCAAATGTGAATGAAATAAGCAGTCATTGTCGCTGGTAATTTTAGGCTGCTTCTGTATCCCTATTACTCTCTGTTTGTTACAAAATAGGAAACATCATTTCTACCTTTTTTTTTTCTTTTTCAATTTGTGTTCCACAATGAATCAATTCTATTACATCATCATCTCACTAGAGAGTTCAACTGACTTGGTTTGTGAATTCTAATGGTTGATGCTGGCATTATATTAACAACACAGTCATGCGGCTTTCAGTTCCTCTCTTATTAGCTAGCTTCTCCAATTATATGCAAATTTGAATTGATAGAGGATCACTATGATAGCCTTTTAATAAACTAAGCACCATGCGTAGTTATGAAATGTTGTATAGAAAAAATATAATTGAATGAAGGAGAATTCAACACATTTAGCGTGCTTACACTGTCTACAAAATAATCAATCCTGTGCATTGTTTGGGCAATAACTAGCATATGGAAAAAAATAAATTAGAAATAGGAGCCAAACAGAAGCTACATGAAATCATATTCTTTTTCGTGTGATTTTTGAGTCATCCTATTTGGTTTAACTAAAAAAGTTAACAAAAATCTAAATCCAAATTAGCAATAAATTTTAACTCTACAGTTTATCAACTTTTATTAGAATCTACTAAAATTCTAATTTTTATTAGAACCAAATAGGAGTGTAACATTTGTTTTTTCTACTTGTATCGTCTATATATGATATAAATGTTGCGGGACGGTGTATATTTCTTGATCAAAAGATGTGCCGAATAATTACACGACATCAAAGGGACACTTTTGTCATTTCACCAATTATACAAAATATAAAGAGATTATGTGGGTGTTTGGTGTAGATTAAAATTAGAGTTTTAGTAGATTTTGATAGAAATTTTTGAAATGTTTGGTTGAAAAGATGTGGGATTCATGAAAGATGTGGTTAATATTAATTGTTTGACTTCGACTTAAATTAAAATATGATTTTAATTCGAAACAAACATAGGCCTATATTCAATGATATTGGCACATTATTCTCGTTAGCTTGGAGGCTAATTAAAGTCAAGACTGAGATGCGTCTTTGTATGTCTAATTGTACACTTCCTTGTATTTTTAGAATTCAATACTTTAAATGAAAAATTTCACGAAATTTCATTAATTCTAATGGAAAATAGCAACTAAAATTACTTGTCTAAAAATCTAATGAATATGGGTCATAAAAATAAATTATCAAAAAAAAAAAAATTTAAACGAGTAGTAAACGGGACAAGGATCCCGGCTCGCCTTAAACGGATAACGGGACAGAGAATTTCTTAACGGGACGAGGTACAAGCTGCTGGGGATTGCAACTGCCCTGCACCATTGCCATCCCTAAACAAAGGTCATAATTGGACAGCCGTTCCCATTCTAGGAGTTCCAGAATATAAATGTAAAGGTCCCTAACGACACGATTGGAATCAATGATGGTCCCACCCTAGTAAGCAATAATGGACTACAGTCTTCTACTTAGACAATTCTGTTTCAATAGCAGATAAACCATGTAAATCTACAATCAGAAATAGTAAAAATGGACTAATTGTTATTTGTATAGATTAATTTTGAATGAATTAAACTTGTACTCACAAAGTGTACACCTTAATTGACATCGCATATGTGTCAAAAATCTAACAGTTGATTGAAAAATATGTTATTAAAACCAATGCATCAAAATCTACCAACTCACATGAGTGTAAACCAATGTGTCAACATTTATGTACATGTAACATGATCCTTCCAATTCTAAAGTCGAAGAAAAATTTCCCGATGCTACATTTCCCTAGGAACGGAAACAAAATCACCTCGATACTATATCGGATCGAGCCGAGCATCTTCCTGAAAATGGAAAGATCTATGATAGACAGCCAACCTCCAGGAGAGAGCGATATGCACGGACCAAGTGAGCAGAGAATGCAGCTAGCTAGCTACAGTCACTCAAGAGAGTCCCTCCAAAGCTAAAATTAACATATGTAGACAAATTCTTCAAGAGAGCATTCGTTGGTCCCTATCTACTTGAGTGTGACCAATAGTTGTAAACTATCACATGACACTAATAATATTCTCCACATATCCCACAACAATTTGAAAACTCAAATCATGGCCGACTCTGCCTTGATATTCCATAGCCCGGGGTAAATACGGAAAGAACAGAAACATAAGATAATAAATTCTTAATTTTCTTTCTTTCATAGACTAAAAAAGACCATAACCGGTAGTTTGACAGATCCCCCTATATTCAAAAACCCAGACATTCGCATATACGCAACGTCTTTGAGCAGAATGAGAAAAGCCTATTGCATGCTCAAACTTTTGAACTTCAGACAACAGTAATCAGAAGACATAATTGGGACTGGACCATCTGTTACTTGTCCCTACTCTTCCATTCAACAGTAAAAATATAAAACCAACCTTCCCCCGTCTTTCAACACCCAACATAGCTAACAGAACTTGGTGTCAATTGAAGTAACTTAGTAACAAGATAATGTAAAAACACTCCATGCCAGGCTAACCCAGTCAGAAAATTATCAAGATTCAAGCTTAGTTTCAGATGATCTCAATCCAGAAGAAATGCCACCGATGCTCCCAATTTGTGATTCTAAGGGCAATAAAAACTTGGGCTGTACTTGTAGCAGTATTTTCAGTGATGGCTTCGAATTAATGTGCTGCACAATAGCGCAAGATACATTTAATTTTGCAGCAAGAAGCAGGGGATGCAAATAAATTTATTAACCAGAAATAAATACGCACCGTCTCTTACCTTCGTTACATCCTTGAAGAAAGTACTGATTTCTTCTTCAGTAAGACCACCCTCATCAGCATTTTCCTCCCAGCCCATGGAGCGCAAAAAAGCAGCCTCCTCCTCGGAAATTATAGGATCAGAACCTTGATGTTTCTTTCCGTTACTGACATATTTCTGCCCTTCACAAGCATCGCCATTGCAAGTGAGGTCACCATTCTTGTCAGACAAATGGCCCTCACTCAGGCTTACACAGGATGGAGTATCACCAGCATTAAAAGTACTTGTAGCAGTGACCTCTAATTCACCAACATTATCTGTAGCAGGTGGTGACAGAGAAGTACCAAGATCTGAAACAGACAGGGAGTTTGCCATAGATTGAACAGGAATGGAAGAGGAATTTGCCATGGATTTCTTCCTCATAAGGTTGAAAAAATCATTTCGACTTTGAGCTTGAGTAGTTCGCTTCTCCGGCACAGTCAATACAGGCATGTGCGCACTAGGAATGAATGAGTTGTTTGTTGGGCCCATAACGGGAGCAGCTGCAGGAGCTGATGAAGCCATCAAAAGGGAGGAATTTACTAATTTGCTACCGCTTGTTGGGCTCAGGTTATCCTTCACAGTAGAAGAGACAGCATGCCTCTCTCGCACTGGCTTAAGAACATGGAGCTTTCCCACATTACTTGTCTTTGAAACATCAGACTTCACAAGCCCATCACGAGGAGAGTGACTAGCAGAAAGTGAAGGCGAAATCGGACGCTGCAGCTGACCCCCCTTAGTTTTCTGTTTATCTGAAGAAGTCAAGACCTGAGAGAAAAGTTCAACATGATTAATCATATCTTCAAATTTATCAAAAACAAAATAGCACAGGATAGTAAGTTGTCCATTCATATTATGCAGAATGGCCTCAAAAGCGCATAAAGCGTAATCTTTCTCACGTCTGCCCTTGTGGATTTCTCAAAAAATATAGCTTTCTACACATTATTTCAATGGGTCAAAAAATCAATTTCTGATAGCAATTAATAATTAGTTTCATGAAAAAGAAGAGAAAACAACACTCCAAGGCCTGGATATTCAAGAGCTACTTTGAAGAGATGTAACTTTGAGAAATTAACGCATCAAAAAAAAAACTCAGATATACGAACATTAGAGTACTTAAAAGTAGAACTGAATTGACATCATTTGAGTGTGATGGAGACAGTTGCAGGCTTAAATAAAGATTTGGCTATGCAAAATATTGGATTGTGTTAAGTTGAGATGAAGTTCCATAAAGTTAATAAATATTCCATATGCACACATTAAATCGTAGTTTGGATTTAACTAAATAATAATCATTTTCTGCCTTCGACACTAAAGATTTTGAGGAAAATTGTATTTAAGACACAATTACTCATATGCTGTCACCAAGCTAGTTGCTCCCTATTGTCCCACTGGCTTCATCTTTGCTCTCAAATTCTCCTTTTCTGTCTTCAAAAGTAATCTCCCACCCCCAAAAGACTTAAGAATATCCTATCCTACTTGATTCCATTGAATTCAATATTCAAAGTAACAATCAGAGTTTATTTATTAAAAGAATCGATCAATACAGTTCATATGCACCCAAAGGTACTGTATTTGGTTTTGAATCAGACTTCGTATCAATCTACATTATTCACATGTGAGATCTGGGCCCTTATTTTTCTAATCATTCAAGAAAACGATCAGTCTCCTAATAAAAAACAGGAGTTAGAACCAATAAAGATTTCTTTTTTGCATTTTGTTATTGTCACCAATCTATTGATCTCATTCTCTCCCTCTCATCCTCGGGTCAACTGCTCCTCTTCTCTTAGAGATTTCAAGCGAAATTTGTTCCTCCCTTTACTCAACCTCCCCACGCCAAAAAAAATTAGGTGGTGGGGGGAGAACTAAGATATGAAAAGAAATATCAGCACACTTATTCTACTGACTCTCAGGACTTCTTTCTTTTGAAAAATGGCAAGTGCGACTCTCCAGAGACCCAATGACTACATCTTTGTTGAGCGGCTGGTACATCTTATAATTCTTCCAGTTCTATTATTCACAACCCAAAACTAATGTGATTGAGAAATGACAAAATGCAGAATAACAACCTTGACATGGTTGCTGTAAAAAATGCTTTTGACCTTCATTAGAAGTTAATCTTTTTTTTTTTTTTGAAAGGTTCATTAGAAGTTAATCTAATTAAACATCAAGACAAAAATTCCCTCATCGTTTGGACCTTCAGTTTTCTGAAAGTGATTCTGCTCACATTAAATCAAATGCCACATATTAAAAATGAGAAATCAATAATGATAACAATCCTAAAAGTTAAGGAAATCATAAATTACTTTTCCTCTGTATGTTATTTAAGTGCGTTTTGGCAATCAAAACCAATGAAAGTAGTCGTCAGCAGAAATCTATACTTAAAGCAAGATCATTATTTAAAAGGTTAAGTTTTAAAATGAAAGGGAATAAAAGGAGAGAAATAATTAAGGCAAGTATATTCCTTAAACAAATAACAAATTCGGAGAGAGAGTGAGGGGGGTGAGGGGGAGAGAGAGAGACAAGACAAAAGACAACCTTCTACAAAAATAAATCTAAAAAAAATTGCCTTAATCAAGTATGAAGATAACAATGTTCAAATTCTAGACATTAGTCCTACAGTCCAAAATTTATTCCTACTTTTCAATTATAAAAATCACTTATTTTACCATCTCATCCTCATCAAAATACTATTTCTGTTGGCTGACTTTCACCAATCGAAATGACAAAAAGCACCCATAATACCCCTACACAAAAAAATGAAAACAGTGAAGAAAAAACCCTGGTACCCCACACCTTGACACAAGAACCCTATTTTCTGTTTCTCTATCTAGCAGATTCTTTCTCTAGAAACTAGAAAGTGCATGGAAAAGAAGAAAAAGATTAATAGGGATAGATTCCTCTTTGCTTATGCTTTTCTTGAAATGGTAAAAATGTTCCTGCAATTAGGCAATATCAATATTGAGAAACAATTTCAAGAATAAGTGATTGTAATATACTAACCTGGTTAACTTATGCAAAAGTTGGTTGAACCACTACCAATATGAAGGAGAAAGTTGAAAAGGTAGCAGTGTTGGTTTTGACTGGGATGTTTACTGATCGACGATAACAGCTATTTCTAACATCATCTAATGGAATAATTATTTTCTTCAGAAGATAACATAGGTCCTCCAGCAGTTCCCCATTTATCTCAGACAAAGAACTACACAAACAGATCTTCGATTCACCCTATTTCTTATATTTATGTCACGAAATTTATTACCATTTAAAAATATTAACACTGATGGAGAAAAATCGAGGAGATACCATGTCAACCGCATTTTCCCTAGTTCCCAGACACATTTCTTTCTCTCTGATTAATGTATTTTACATCTCTACTGAAGCAAATCCTTTTGAGTCTCCAAGACTAAACCGTCCTGATTTAATAGCTATTTCCAAGTCGCTCACGAACCAATTGAGTAAGCTTTCAAGTTTAAATCGCTGGATATGTGATTTATCATAATCAATATTAATACAAACAAATTTTCACACTTGCGAAACACACACCAGTCTCAACCTATATCTAACACTATTGAACTTTTCAACCAGCTTCTAAAATTAAAAATCCACAAGAAGGAAAATTCAATTCAAAAATTATCAAAGCAGACTAAAAAAATTGGGAAAGCTATTCAATGCTATTCCTAAAAAGAATAACTAAAGTAGAATACCAACTTAACACTGATATCATTGAGGCATATAATTCATAAAGGATGCATACTGAATTTCAAAGAAAAGGTAGGTAGTTCACTCTTACCAAGGGTTTCAGTACGGATGGCGTTACCGGAATCAATTGCCTAGATTGTTTTATTGCCAGTTCTTCAAGTCTCTGAGTTCCAGCAGACAACTACAAGAAAACAAAAAAGAACCATTAGTACCGCTTTCAATACTATCACCCGAAATAAGGAAAAACTGAACCTACCTGAGGCATAGCCTGAGCACGAGCAGGACCCTGAGCCACAGTTGCAGCCATATTAAGACCAGTGGTCGAGCCCGAAGTCATAGGGGCAGAACTTGAAGGGGTAGCTAGTCTTCCAGTTAAAATGGGTACTTCCGCCAAAGCCGACGTCCATTTTTCGCCACCTATCATGGCTGAGGTACCAATGGGCAAGTTCTGGATAGTAGTACTCAAGCCAGGAGATGGAATCCTTCCAACCTCTGGAGTGGCTGGTCGTCCTTCTGCTCCCAAGGATGGAAAATCTCTCTCAAAAGAGGCTTTGTTGACACTGCTAATAGGACTGCCCTTAGTAAGCAGATCATTGCTGTTGTTTCCACAGTTATTGCTCAAATCAGGCACAACTTTCTTTGGCCGTGACTCCCCAAGTTTCCCGGAAATCGACCGTGAGTGCCTCAAACTGTACTGCTCAAATTTACTAGACAAAATGTTGCCCCCCAATGGATCTGAAATGTACTGGTGTTTACGGTCCCCCAAAACTGACTTTTCTTTATCACGAGAACCATACGTGTCCTCCCATTCCCTATCGCGGTGATTCCTAGCGAAACTACTATAGGACCTCAAGTGACCAGAACCGTTGCTACTGGAACTCCGACGGAAAGATGATGTAGTTCCGTCCGTACCAGATGGTCGCCCTAAATCATGACCATTGCTCGCCACAAATGACTTATTTCTTGCTAGTTTTGGAGCAGAATGATCATCTAAAACAACAAAAACACGTTAAAAATAGTTCAAGTCTATAAACTAGGATATATCCAATATAAGATGTTTGTCTCAAAAAGATGATAATATTTACCTGAATGTGAAGCAGTGCCACCAACCGCCAGACTGCCACTGTTTTTCAGCCATTCTGGTACTAATGTGGGTTCACTTCTTTCCATAACTAATACCAAACATTATAGTATACAAAGAATAATGGGAAAGATAATCAATTGTCTTCTTCTACTTAATGATCACTGTGCCGATTGATAACTGACACGTCTCCCCTCCCAGACAAAATTGAATGCTTTTTTTTTCAAAAAGTCAATCCAAAATTTCATCCTAATCTGAAATTTCCTATGCACTAATCCCTTTATCCTTTAGGTCAAAGCCCTTACTGCGCTGTTTTAAAACTCAGTGGCTAGTGTGCATTAACCAAATCCATAGAACCCCCAAATAAATTCCTCCAAAAAGCCCACGTACGAATAAAATAATCTGAATTATTCTATACATACAGGGTAACTGGTGTTTTGTTTCTTTTTCTCACTCTCTGAATACAATTTATATATATTGTCAAAACCAAGCATCTGCAGTTTTCAATTCCCGGAAACAATATCAACAAGGGCTTCTCACGGCCTCACTGACCAAGAAAACACGCACCAAGAACGGTATTGCGTCACACTATCGAAAAATTTCAACAGAAAGTCGTAAATTACCCTACTCCATGCATAAATCTTCCCAAGACAACGCAATCCTTCAAGAAACGCTCGTGTCCATATATAAAAACGGAGAGGTAATCAAATCCTAGACCCAAACCATCCAATAACAACAAAATATTCCAAAATCCCAGAAAAATCCTCACGTTCAAACAGCTAGTAACACAGAAAATTACCAAAAACTCGGAAACAGTCCCAGTATATCTTAACAATTAAAAAACAGACTGACCCCGAATTTTCAGAATAACATTAAATATTAAAACAATACCCTTCCAGTTTTCCGCACACCAAAAATTATATCTTAACAATTAAAAAACAGACTGCCGCCGAATTTTCAGTATAACATTATATATTAAAACAATTCCCTTCCAGTTTTCCGCTCACCAAAAAAAAAACCCAGTTCTCGCCCTCGACCTCGACGCCTATGAATGAGTTGTTTGTCGAAATTTATAGAGAATGAGAGAGAAAAGGAACGCCAACTGTCCTGTATTTCATAAATCTTGGTCTCTTTTCTATGCTATGTGCCAAATAATCGATTTTCCTGTGCCCTTGTACAGATAGCGGAGATTAGCGATAGAGATTCGTGTATTGAGAGGAAGTTTTGCGTGTTGTGTGTTTGAGAAGAAATATTGTTATGTAGTCCAATTTTTCTTGTTTTAATGCCAATAGTATTTGGTGTATGGATACTAGGACTGGTGTATGCTCTGTTGTACTTCTAATCCTGGAGTTTGAGTAGAATTTTAATCCAATTAAAATTGAAAATATAGTCGTTAATGGATCTCACTCCTCTAATAAAAGTCAACAATAACGACTAATTTTTCAATTTTAATCCAATTTTAATCTCTACCAAATAATCTCTATCGAATTTGGGTACACATTTGTTTACCTTTTTCACTTTTTCTTTTTGTTTTGAAATTGCGACAATATCATATCTAATCCTGTAGTTTGAGTAGAATTTTAATCCAATTAAAATTGAAAATATAGTCGTTAATGGATCTCACTCCTCTAATAAAAGTCAACAATAACGACTAATTTTTCAATTTTAATCCAATTTTAATCTCTACCAAATAATCTCTATCGAATTTGGGTACACATTTGTTTACCTTTTTCACTTTTTCTTTTTGTTTTGAAATTGCGACAATATCATATACCTCATTTAGCTTTGTGATAATATCAAAGACATCCTGTCGACTTTCAAAAATATCTTTAACTTTTTCGATCTCTACTTTGGAGTATCACATCCATCCCTTATCCAATTTTTGAATCACATACATCTGAAATGATATTAATATACTTAGAATATCCTTATTAAGAAAGATATGAAATTAATCCCTAAAATATCGCTAATATTATAATGAAAGCATCTCTCGTCTCTTTGAAATTTTAACAACACTCCATCCACGAATTTGAAGCTTTGTTGAAGGGTCATCTAGCAAGTGTATGTATAAGCATAGATTTGAAGATTCTTGAATTAGACAACCTTTAGAACTGCTGCTGAATTCATGGATAGGAAAGAGACAATTTGACGAACTAAAATATCTTAGTAGCTAAAGGAAAAGAAAGCAAAAGTGATTTTCATGCTACTAAATGGGAGCAACCTAAAATGAGGTTTTGGGAGAACGAAAGCGATTTTTATGTTGCTAAGCAAAGTAGCACGAATGTTGCACCTTAAATGACAAAAGTCCAGTAGTCGAGAACATCACTAACTTACGATATTACCCGAGTAGCATGAGACACATGAAATTTCGTGTGAATTAGCAAGGACCACCTTGCAATGCTATATATGTCTATAATTTGGTCCATGCAAGAAAAATATGACTTTTATGGGGTGGAATTTTTTTAGGAAAAGTACATTTTAGGTTTCTTTATTGTGAATTTGACATAAAGTTGCAAATAAAAGAGCTTTTTCTCTTTTACTTGTGTAAGATACAAGAGTTTAGTTTCAAAGAAAGAATGGCCATTTAAGGAAATGAACAATGGTTAGACGATCGCAAAAATACGTAATATTTAACGAGATTATATAGTTTACGTTGGATGATAACTAAGCAGTAAGTGTATTGAAAAGAAAATTCGCAACATTTAAAAATAGTTGTAAAAAAATTTGTATTTATTTCCCAAATTAAATTATATACTGGCTAGAAACCAAAAATAGCTCAAACCCTGAACTAATTCATGCCTCCCTCCATTCATTCCTCTCCAACAAAATCAATAATCTTTGATTTATTGAGCTATTCTCTCTAGTTTGGCTGACCGTTGCCGCCACAGGAGGATTCCAAAAAGGAAGAGATCGCCACCGACACCGGAGGATGCCAAGAAGTAAGAAAAGTGGTGCTCAAAGAAGAAGTTCTCCAGCCGACAGCAAAATTCCTCGTTGAGCTTTCGAAATCGCAGGATGTTGTCGTTGGAGATGGAGATGGAACACTATTGTTGTTATAGCGAGCACTCTTTTAAAGGCATCTCTTACTCTTTTATCTGCTGGCATTCACCCCGACGGTTGTTTCAGATGCCCTTCACAAGGCTTCGATTAAAGCTGTTGAGATTTTAACGGCTATGGCGATTCCTGTGGAGTTATCGGATCACGATTCACTGGTTAAGTCAGCATCTACTTCTTTGAATTCCAAGGTTGTGTCTCGATACTCTTCTCTTTTAGCCCCATTAGCTGTTGATGCTGTGCTTTCTGTAGTGCACCCTACTAAGCCTAATTTAGTAGACTTAAAAGATATTAAGATTGTGAAGAAATTAGGGATAGAACACTGATTTGTGCAATCAACAAACCCAAATAGATGTTCTGTGTTTTCTATTTGGGTATTTAAATTTCTTTGGTTAATCCATTTAAAAATAAATAAATTTCCCCAAATGCCGGGCTTAAGGTTTTTAGGGACGATGCCAATGGGCAATGGGGTTATTTTACTACGAAGACTAGAGCTTGCGAGGGCCGAGGAAGAGAAATTATGTTATTTATTGAGAATTTACAATTGAATTCTTTGTCAAATGGGCGTAAATCATTGATTTTGTTAATGTTCTTTACTGGAATTTACTTGGAGCAGAAGCAGTTTTGAATATCATTATTTTAGTATATACCAGGAGCGTAACTGCTGTTCATACTGGAAAGTAATAATCTAAAGAATCTCTAATTTGTAGCTGTTCTCACTGAATTTTTAGTTGGTGATTGAGCTTAATTTCTTTTCTATGTTTGATTGTTCTGTTCAATGAAATTATTTGTTGGCACAAGGCACAACATGGTTTTTCTCTGTTTCAGTTAATCGAACTTGGGTTTATTTTGAGCTTTGAATTTTGTGAAGTAAATCTTAAAATTTGGGTCATTTTACTAAATGTAAAGTTGTAACTTTTCAAATGACATTGACAGTTGCCTTTTTAAAAGCAATTTCAGGATTTATGATTGACATGGTTGGCTTCAGCATCTCTAAAATGGTTTGGTTTTAATCGAGAGGGAGTAATCTTTGTTGCTTTTGTTGAAGTCTTATGGGGGTGAGTTATTGTCTCCATTGACTAAGGTGTTTTGAAGATATATTTGATGTCTGTTTAGGTCTTGACATCCCATGTGCTTTTCTGTTCCAAACAGTTTGCAGACTTGATGTTGTAAGCCTCAAATATGGCTAGAATTTCTGGTTGTGATGGGTGAATATTACTCAAATTGTTCTTACTTCGATTTCTGAAGGTTTTTATGATTATGTCCTCTAAGAGTGTTATTTTTCATATGATGGTGATTTTGTTTCTCTTCATTTCATTAAAGGTGCCTATGGGTAGAGCAACTCTTGGTCGTATCATGAATGTCATTGGAGAGCCTATTGATGAGAAAGGCGATATTAGTAAGTGGTGTTGCTTCTGAATGATCCATACTCTTTTAAGTGACTATAGAAGGCTTGTGTCTTTCCTAACAATGGAATGGTGGTGCAAAAGCTGATCAGTACTTGCCAATCCATCGTGAAGCTCCAGCCTTTGAACAAGCAGCTGAACAGCAAATTCTTGTCACTGGTATCAAGGTACTTTCTTAGAGGTCCAATCTGTACTTTGATGGCTTCCACAAAAGAGTGTCAAAGATGAATTGGATGCAAGGCATGATTCTCTAGGAGCTCCATCAAATTGGCTTCTGAAGTTTGAGAGGTTACGGGATCGATAATTGAATTATGGAAAGCTTGCAATGTTTCACAATTTTATTTCATTTTGAAGCTCCTTTTTATTTAGGCGGTGTTGTATCACATTCTAATATTCAAATATATGGATTTAAAAATTTGCAATGAAATTATCAATTTTTATACAATTCCAAAATTTGTTCATAAGAAGTCATTTTCAATTTTACGAATCAATTTGCATAAATTGTTGTTAGAAAAAAAACATACGGCAACGTTCAAAAAACGCTGCAAAAAGTTATTAGTAACGTTAAAAAAACGCTGTGAAAATGGTTATTAATTTTTTTTAAAAACGCTACAAAAGGTTATTAGCAA